AGAAATAGGCCTAGGCTAAATATTCCTCCTTGGCCAGAGGTGGCTCCTTCCATATCTACTGGTCTCCCTACCAGCAAGGCCACCGGCCACATGTCAGGTAGGGGTGTCATTAGCCCTGCTGTGGAAGCTGTCCCACTGTGAAGAGAAAATGCAAGATTCATAGGGACAGAAAGTGAATGCAGCTAATACTTAGTGGTTACAAGAATCACCACGCCACCCTCCATTTCTGTCCCTGCTTTCAGGGCTATTTATGCATTTTAAATACAAGTTATTAGACAAGCACACAATTAATTCTGTAACAATTTATACCTACTCTCAACCGCAGATATTAATCCACTGTAACTTTTATAATTATTTTTTATAATTACATAATCAATAATAGAGTTGAATGTCTGCCCAGTTCTTTGAAGATAAATTACAGGAAGTAGATTACATATTGTGCACCCATTATTTTACGTATTTCACAACGAATCTAAGATGAGAAAGCTGGTAATCCATGGCAAATCTGCTGTTTGGGAGTCTGAAAATTATGTTATCAATTGCATTTGATGTCATATGTCAGAAAATATCCATGGCAACAGAGATGGGAGGAATAAGACCTGATCAGAGTGACCTCCTGTGGAAGGAGAGACCCCAGGAGTAGAGGGAAGCTTGAGACTGACCCCTCTCTTCCACTTACCTAAAGCAGAGCCTGGGATGCTGCTGGAAACTGGAGCATTGTGCTGCACTTCCAGACCCAGTGCTCGATCCGGATTGGTGGCGGTGGTGTCCAGAGAGATACTTCCAGGCCCAGGGAAGGGCAGCTGGGAGAGGACTGCAGCGTCAGAGGAGACACTGGAGGACTCTCCCGCTTGCATCGGTTAGCAGCAAATGTTGGGTAAAGAGCACAAGGAGCAAGCATGGGTGGTCGGAGGATTGCCAACTACCTTATGTACTGGGGTGCAGGATGTCAGGGCCAGCAGCCTGACCAAAGCTGGGCACTCGGGCCAAAGAGGAAACAGGCTGGAGGGACATGGGAGCCTGAACCCACGGTGAGCTGGGCCCAAGGAAAAGGCTTTGCCCAGAGCCGAAGTTTTTATTTTTTTATTTTGTTTTTCTGTGTGGTTGTTGGAAGACAGAGTAAGTTGATAGGGGAGTGGCCCCTTAGTATGGTGCTGGACTTTGTAGCCAATGTTGGCTTCCAGAGGGGAGAATGCATTGATAGAAGTGTCGCTCAGGTATTTTGGAGTTGTTGCCTTTTTGGTTCCGAGTTCTTTGAGAACGTCCCCCACTCCTGACAGGACTAGTAAAGAAAGCAGTTGATCAGGGGAGAATTGACCCCCAAAATAATGCAGAGCCCATGAATTAATGTTAGGGTGTGCAGGGACTATTAAAAACTAATTTATTTGAATCCTCCTGTCAGTATACCCCATGAAAGGTATACTGTTGTATACCCCTTTCAGTCTTTGCTGATCTACAACTCAAGAATCCTCAGCCCCACTAAAGGGCTTTGTTGTGTCTAACAAGTAAGACCAGATATGAGTTCTGGGCAGTCCAGACAGGCCTATCACCAGTAGCCCAAGGGGCCATCTCCTGAGATCAAAGCACCTAGCAACATCAGGGAGTGGCAAGGATGGGATGTAGGGAAGGAGGATCCCTACAAAGAAATTCCTCCAATAGGCCTTGAGGTATCACCCAGTGGAATGAGCTCCCCAACAGAAGTGACATCAAAGTCATGGCAGGAGATGGAACAACATCAAAGCACAGCTGGGGGATAGGACAGCTTTTTCCATATCCTGGGGTTATTTTGCAGGGAAGATGCCAGGTCAGAGGAGGCCGAGGCCAAGGCCAAAACCTGAGAGCACCTACCCCTGACAGCTCCTTAGAATCTGCAGCCCTAAATGAGCAACATAAGCTATTCTTCTAAACTTGTATTACTATATTCTAAAATTAAGGTCTATGAGCTAAGGAGAATAGTCGGGGAAGCACTGCGGTCCCAGAGGGGAGAGGAGCCAGGTGTCCAAGGAGAGTGGTCGCTCCTTAAGGAGACAATCCTCCAAGCCCAAAGGGAGGTAATCCCAACACGGATCAAAGGGAGCAGGAGGGCACACAAATCCCCATGGCTCACCAAAAGCATCCGGGAATGTCTCCTAGCTAAAAGGGAGGCGTATACCCAATGGAAAGGAGGGGCCATCACCAGGGATGACTATACTGCAGTTGCTCGGGGATGTAGGGGGGCAGTCAG